AAGGACTTGCTGCGGAGAGCCTGATCTTGAGGCGGATGTGGTGTGAAGACAGGAAAATGGTGAAGAAGATGGGGAATAGAGACGACACGAGAATAGGAATAGCGTCGAGTGGAGACGAGGGTGGATAGGAACGTCAGACCCGCGCTGTTCACCTAGCACTCCAACCCGATAATTCGTGGCTCTCGGAGGCTGGGGCTATCATTAAAGTTCGACCTGTGGACTGGCGGCCTAACCTTTGCATGCCAAAAGCGCAATGTGTAACGTTGTTGACCGTTGGAGAAGGTGACCTTCGCCTTGAGTGCTTCGTATGCTGAACGTTACCTCCGGTGATAGTTGTTCTGATATATACACTTCAGTTACGAAACATTTGACTCAACAACTTTTGCGTGATAGCCCAAGTTCTATCAGTCGTACACTATTGTTTACCATTACGTTGTGGATGTCAGAGAGGTTCCTGCGGGTGTGCGTGATTTCAGAGCCGGTTCCATTCCTCGGGCGTACACCGATCACGCGTGATGAGGTTACAGGTTAACGCGCGAGCCTGCGGTCGGATTCGCTGGATGGGATATTGTAGCGGCGATCTGACGGATATATCGCTCCCCAACCTTTTCTTGCGTGCAAGCATGAGCTAGGCAACTTCTTTATACGATTCTCTGGTCTCTACCTGTCTGTCTGTGAATATGAGTTGGTTTGACTGTTGAAGAAACAGAGCGGGAAATACATATTATAGTCTGGTTGGATGAATAGGTTCTCCTCGCCGACGATGCCACACTTCCGTCTTGTCTAGATCCATCGGAGACTGGATCTGCGAGTGCACGGACATCCTCGCTCTTCACTGCTGGGAATACAACTCTTAGTATCTCTGGCTTTGAGAGCTATTACATGGCTCTAATAGGTACTGAGCTGATGATTTTTTTATAACTGTCCAGTAGCCACCGCTCCCAATCAAACGGCTCTATATGTAAAATATCCAATTAATGTGGCCCACTTCAATTATCTCCAACAAAATTTGGCGAGGCATGGAGTCGAAGCCGCTGTCTGCTCGCTGGACGCTCTGCAAAATTTCAGCGGGATGATTTGATCTGATCTTTATATCCATTTCACTTTTTCCTTTTTTTTGTCATTCTAACCGTGCGAAAACAGTGGAGCTAACTCTTGACTCTATTTTTGTTTACATCCCGACGCTGTGTTTGCTAGAATTCCGGTGAAGCTTTTAGCTGATCGTCCCCCCTTTATTCGATGTGGGGCTACTTTTTCCCTTGAGTTTCTCGTTCTCTGGCGGTTCGGGGATCTGTGTCTTTATATTCCACCGACTTTCTTCCCTTCCTGTCTCTTCCTTCCTCCTACCTTCCTTTCTCTCCTCTCTCACTCTCTCTCTCCTCCTCACACCTCTCTCTCTCTCTCTCACCTCTCTCTCTCCTCTCTCACTATCTCTCTCTCTCCTCTCACTATACTTCTCTCTCTCTCTCCTCCTCACTATCTCTCTCTCTCCTCTCTCCACTATCTCCCTCTACTCTCCTCTCTCACTATCTCTCTCTTCCTCCTCTCTCTCTCTCCTCTCTCACTATCTCTCTCTCTCCTCTCTCACTATCTCTCTCTCTCCTCTCTCACTATCTCTCTCTCTCACTACCCTCTCTCTGTCCTCCCTCTCCTCTCTCTCCTCCCTCTCTCGCTCTCTCCCATCTCCCTCTCCTTTCCCTTCCCTCTCCCTCTCCCCCCTCCCTCCCTCCCTCTCCCCTCCCTCTCCCCCTCCTCCCCTCTCTCCCTCCCTCCTCCCCCCTCCCCTCCCCCCCTC